AATTATAATAAATATTAAAATAATACAAATTGCATTAATAGTATACCAAATGAATACGAGATCAATAATTGACATTGATTATCACTGTGGATTTTCTGTTTGACATTTAGGTTTACGCCCTAACCATCTTTAATGATTTTACGACGTGAAGACGTTTATTCCAATAGACGATATATAAATAATCAAGAACTTGATGAGGAGTCCTGGCAATGCCAGGCAGTGAGGCTAGTAGTAGTAGTAGTACTAGTAGTAGTACCAGGAGTTAATAAAGACATTTGTCTTTATTAACTCCTGCTAGTACTAGTAGTAGTAGCCTACAACTTCAAGTAGTATGCTGTACATACCTTGTTTTCACTGACGTCTGCTCAATGACAAGGGTACACACCATTATCAATGGGCTCACAATATGTTGAAATTAAACATGCTTAACCAACATGAAAATGACCATAATGAGAAACAACGAACATTTTCCCACTTTAATCGGTCTGCTAACGCTATTCGTCTTCGAATTTTACACAAGGGAAATATAGTAATACGTTAGATGGCGTGATGAGCGCTAACAACATGGCTAACAAAATGAAATTGAATTTTACACAAGGGAAATATTGCATGCTCACTTCGAAACTCCTAACACGCGCATTCGAAACTCCAAGTTTACTCGTTCCAAAATTGACCGCGCTTTTGCTGGCGGCGCCACCGTCCAATGGCATTGGGAAATTTTATGTTAAAATATGACTATTTCTTACACTAGATGGCGCCAAAGAGTCATATCTTATTTGCAATTCTCAGTGCCATTGGACGGTGGCGCCGCCAGCAAAAGACCGGTCAGTTTTGGAACGAGTAAACTTAAAGTTTTGAGTGCGCGTGTTCGGAGTTTCGAAGTGAGCATGCAATATCTCCCTTGTGTAATTTTTGAAATTTCCCAGTGCTATTGGACGGTAGCGCCGCCAGCGAAAGAGCGGTCAATTTTGGAACGAGTAAACTTGGAGTTTCGAGTGCGCGTGTTCGGAGTTTCGAAGTGAGCATGCAATATCTCCCTTGTGTAAAATTAAATTTCATTTTGTTCGTGAATGCGTGGACATGTTTGTTTACATTCTAAATGTAAATGTGCGTCTTCGTAACATCGTAGTACCATAATAGTCTTCAAAGTCCATGAGTATATAGGCCTATATTGAAGACTATAATAAGAGTGAAATCTATGACTATGTGAAACTTACTAAAAGTAAAAGTTATCAAGACTAGAGTGCCTTCTTGGCAGTGTCTAAACGACCATGCCTACTACTACTAGTACTACTAGTCCGAGATTCCTCTGACCAATGCCCACACCGACGATTTTGGTGGTTTTGGTGTGGGTTATAACTTATTAGGTTATGGTTGTAATAGTACTAATACTAATAGTAATACTAGTGGTACCATACTAAGCTGGTAACCATACGGCAACCATAATCTAATAACTATTATTACTAATGTAGGGCCGACATGTATGATGGAATCGACATGTATGGCGTATTTGGACGCTCGTAGTATTTGGACGCTCCGTAGGCATGTAGTAGGGTTAGGGTTTGTGTAGGGGGTGTTTGAGTAGGGAGGAGGAGATACATGATCATAAAACATGATAATATTGAATGCTATGTATAATTGTATATACAAAGTAAGATTAAATTAAATCTATGCTATTATTAACCGATTATCCGATTATAATCGATTATTGATCGGTTAAGGGAAACCGATAATCGATTATGAAATTCCAGCCGATTCCCATCACTAACCGATGTGATAAAATGGACCATGCGTATGTAGGCAGAAATGATCACTTACAGCTGACTTTAAAAATTAAGAGTAATAAGTACAGGTGGTTGTTATATATTTATATTGCCCAGCTGCCGGTACTATTGGCATTGCCTGACACGTATTACTTTCAAGCAATCTACTTGTGCTTTGAAAATTGCAGTGAACAAGGGTGCTCTGGGAATGTATTATGAACATTTAACGAGCCTAATCACAACAATTAAACAAACAACTTTAAATAGTCGGCATAACGAAAAACGGCCAACCGTGTAAATAAATGATAATAATTTAATAGCAAACTAACACATTGCCATAGTGATACAACAGATCTTATTTGTTCAATAGTAAGAAGTTACTGTATAATGAATGAACAAAAATAATACCACAATAGTTAATCATCAACAAACATAGAAGTATAATGTAAACTAATTTTTTAACGAAAAGTACATTACCAAATGATAAACAAACAATACAAATTACAATACTGATAGTTGCAGCACCAACCATAAACATGAGAAATAGATCAGTTAAATATAGTTTGCTAATAGGGTATTTACATAACATCATTTGGATTCAGAAAATGGTAAGTTCTTATATACATCAATTGGTATATATATCAGCCCAGAGTTTCAGACCTAGGTGAATTTCATTGACTTATATCCAAGTAGAATGTTAAACCTGTGTAGGTAATATGACCTTGAAGATGCAAGGCTAGCATTGTGAGAGTGGACATTGGAGACTGTTTGTTGTTAATAAACCTGTACATAAATTTGGCTAGTTCCAGTTGATAAATTTCAGCAAGTTTTAGTAGGCTAAGCTGCAGAAAGTTAGATCTAGCATGATCCCTATTACTAGTAAATGTCACGTATACTAGTGATGGGAATTGGCTGGAATTTCATAATCGATTATTGGTTTCCCTTAACCGATCGATAATCGGTTAATAATAGCATAGATTTAATTTAATCTTACTTTGTATATGAGCATAAATTCACTGGTGGTACTGGAAATGTGACATTAAACTTGGAAATTTATAAGCATTTAATTTAACCAAATTCAATCAGTTTGTATTGTCTAACTATTGGTCAACCAAAATAGAAGTGTGAAGATAGTCTGTTGTGGCATGCTGACACAAACAAGGTTCAAAGTCGACCCTATTCTGCAAATAACGTAAGCAGCATGGTGTCCATTTTGTAGCTAGATCTGTACATTCTACTGTAAACAAAATGTCAAACTTGGTTCAGTTTTGTACTTCATTGCTTTGCTGACACTTTAAGCATAAAAACATGTGTCTACTTTGTACATATAAATTGTCAGGTTTCATCAAAATATGGGACACCGTTACTTACGTTATCAAATTTACGAAAGTTAGAAGGCACGCAGACTGAATAAAACCAGTGAAATTTCTTTCAAGAAATCTATCAATGCCAATTGTACAGCAAAATATGGGCTCGCGTCCATCAAATAATATAGTAACATTTCGTCAATTAATGTCATTTTTGCTCATTTGACAACGTTCGTAACAAAATAATCCAAATATGTTGTCCAGCTGTCGAACGAAAATATTGGCCCATATTTCATGTACATGTGCCGTCTACTTCAGTTAAAAGACAAAACTATGACAGCCCATGTTAATTCAGTATTTATTATTAGGCAATTCACACTAAAAGAATCGTATTAATATGTGAATCGTATTCGAATTAGATGCGACTTGTTCGTAACAACGGAGTCGGGCACTAAGAAATTTGTCAAATTTGGTGTCTCCATTTACGCACGCAATCATAAATTTAATTTGTGATATTGACAGAAAATTGCGCTTACGTACTATATAACAAATATCCACGTACTATTCACATACAATCCATGATATTCTATAATTAATTGTCGGAAACGAAATACTTCCTCGCAATTATGTGCGTATATCTCGGTGACCCAGTTCGTCTCAGCAGATGACAAACCTGTACGACAGATCTTCACCAATTTCATAAAATATTCTAACACTCGCTGCATGTCACAATAATATACGAGTTCATACACAACAATTATAAACTAAACTCCATATAAGTACATTCCCAAGAGGTAGAACCATCATACCTTTGCTTAAAAAGCTGATATATCGCAACACTTACCGACTGGTAACGTTCGCACATTTTTCGTTTTTCGCGGACACTGCCAGCACATGGTTCAAAGGTGATGTGACGTGAATGCACACACAGTCTGCAACGTCACTAAAATATGTGCCCAATGGATCGCTTTTGGGTCATCGCGTGTCACGCACATAACAAAGCCATGCGTGTCTAATTTACAGTTTCAAACGTCGCGATTTGCGTTCGTAACAAGCGGACACGTTTTACAGACTAGGAACTAAATGTGGATTTACTAATATTAAAGCTGGTGCACTAAACCGACACATGAATCAATACAGGGACATCAAATTAAGTGGACATATGTAAGTCACTGTATTTTTTACATGCCCCGAGTTTCTTGAATTAGGTATGGTGTTTATGTTCGTAACATTTGTGGACACTATGTGTTACGAACATTATGCCAACTTCATTTCAAATTTTAATACATTTTCCGTGATCTGAAGTGTGGTATTCTTGCAAAAATATGAAAACAAACACCAGTACATTATATATATATACTGAACGTAACACAGCAATCTAATTATTTCGATCACAAATCAGTTTGCCAAAAACTGATTTAAAATGTCACAATGGCGCACATTTTTATGTTGAACAATTCTGTATTTTGTACAAATAAAACTTTTCTTGACTACACACGTGGACAGTATTATTACATGTATATATCTATGTTCAATTCACAATAGCATGCAGCAAATTGTATTCAATTTAATCTAGTGGTTTTCCAGTTGTAGCACTTTATTTAAGGATACCCAATTTTTTACCACAGTGAATTCTGACACATATACAATTATACATAGCATTCAATATTATCATGTTTTATGATCATGTATTAACTCTGTGAAGGTTGCTGTATGTATATCAATGTCTGTTCCTATACAGTATTTAATCAATTTAAAAAGAAATGGTTTAAATGCCATTATTAAAACATTAAAAGTTTTAAACAAACATGACCAAGACTTGTTCTTTATTATAGTAAGTAAGTTGTTTGTGTTCTCATAGTGTAGGCTGTGTAGCCAAGTTAATGTCCTGCCAATGGAATATCCTCTCCAACACAATGTAACAAACAATACGGAGAGTAGAATCTCATCTACGGATAACATCTGTGGGACAGTGTCAAACCAAAACAAAGACACTGTCCAATTTGTCCATGTCTATAAGTACACTAGTACAGCTCTGCAATCAGACAGGACCTATGTTAACAGTGATTCATGAAGGTGTCCTCTGGACTACCTATGAAATTATGAAGTTCCTGTTATCGTGAGTTTGCTCGTAGCTACGATGTGTTTCTGTCAACGCTACTCTCGTAGCATTAACATTAGTCGTAAGTGTTATCGTAGCATTAACATTAGCATTAACTTTACGATGTTTCTGACAACGGGCCCCTGCAGGACTTGTGCTCTACTTGTCATATCAATTCACACATCGTGAGTACAGTTCCTTGTTTGTTTGTTTTGGTATTTTCGATAATCGATTATTTGTTTTCAAAATCGATTATCGAATTTGAGACTATAATCGATCGATTTTCGATTATAATCGATCATCGGGACATCACTAATGTATACAACAATTTTATTATGAATCCTATTTACTGGATGAAAAAAAAAGTTTTTCAATGCTATCCAGCTTAGTATGGCATAGACTGGATCTAACATTAGTATTGTTTAACAGATAATCATTACTAACGCAGACTTACTGAAAGCTGAGGCATACAATACAGCAAAATAAAACAGTCACCGCTTGAAAAGTTCTCAAAAACTATTCGAGAAAACAGCAACAAATTGGCAATTTGAATGCATTGATAACAAACACACCAACTGGTTTGTTTACATTCCTTTGACTCTAAACAAGTGACGCGTGCACGCTTGAAACTCCGAACTCCCTCGAATGTACCGCTTCTATCGCCGGGGGCGCCACCATCCAATGGCATTAGAGAGCAGATCATAGGATCCTATACAACTTATGCTACAGGATAAAGAAAGAAATTCGCATATATTCACATGTTAGACGAGATCGGGGCAATGTAGAAGGTCATTGATTATGCCTGAAAAACGGTCAGAATTTTGCACTAAAATGGTAATTTCTTACTAAATAGTAAAAATAGAAGGAGTGAGAACGTGTACCGATGGCTCTCTTTCTGTTTCAGATGCTGATGGTAGAGATGGAGAAGCCAAGATCCGAGGCCAGAGGCCCAAGCCATCTCAATCGCAAAACCGGCACAAAATGGGCAACGCCGGAAATAGAGGACCACAAAATTGGCGATAGAGGGCCACACCGAGACGACTACAAGATTATCAATGTGTGCATGCAGAACAAGCTCTGCGTTCTAGGAGCATGGCTCCCCGAAAGCGAGACTTCAGTCACGTGTCCCGGCTCCCGGGCACGTTGACTGCATTGCGAACGTCCTCGGAACAAACGATCGGGTTGGAGGTGGGACGACAGTGGGCCACGGAGAGACTCCTCGTCAAACATGCGACGATCGATGGCGACGGAAGAGGAAGCGCGGGCATTGACAACGCTGGAACTTCACTCGACTGGCCAACACGATTCATCTCGGCATTCAAGGCTGGCATGAGAGAGCAATTCAGCAGAGCGATGCTGGGGTGGGACAGATCGGCGGATGAACAACAGCTAGTACAGCGACTGATTAGCTCTGACATCAAGACTAGATGTCGCTTATAGTAGATAAACTTCAAAATAAGCTGCGGTAATACAGATATAGTAGTAAGGAAGCTGCCTGAGGGAATGAGCATTCGGCAGTCAAGCGCCTGAACAACGGCATAGAGATGTCCGCCCACCTAAAAAATGTCAACATTGGTAAAGTATTTATTTCGAACATAATCTCGCGTTTTCCCCACTTTTACGACACTTACTGTTGTTGCTTGAGTAACAGCAACTGTCTGGAGTAGGGACAAAATGTCTTACTTGGCTACATTCCCTAAAACATGCACAATTTAAATTTTTATTACTCGTTTTGATTACCGCTGCCATTTCTTGCAAATCTCGGACTATAGCGCCAGTTATCGGCCAATTACAAAAGCTAAACATCAACCACACAAGAGGCAGATGCCCCTTTGTTTGAATTAGTTGCAGAATGTGCACATGTAACTAAGTAAGTGTACCAACAATTTACAAGTTTACCCATTCTGACTAAGGCACCATTTGTAAATTGATTCTTGCTATAATCAAATATGCCATGGTATTACAATGTATTCAAATCCAATTTTCTATGCTATAACTGCCTAAATTCTTAGTGTTTCTCAAGTTGCTGTAATCAGTAATAATATCCGCTGTGAGGTAAGACTTATATTTCGCTACACTTTTTTCAGATTGTGCGTTTCTGAGCAATATTTTGCAATGATAATAAACAAAGTGATGATAACATACAGTGATGGGCAACTGAAGTTCTTGACTAGGCGTATGTTACATGATTAGCCCCCGTTGTATAGAATGGTAGTTGAGTAGGAGATTATAAATTGTCTCTCAGTGAAGTGGTTGAAACCGGTGACCGTGTAATTGTAACTGAGTAATTGTATTGTTATGTTCCTCATTTGCAGGACAACTGTGCAAGGCCAAGACTGTGATAATGCCAGTAAATGAACGAAGCTACCACTGGATACTTTGGGTATGACACTTTAATAATAACAGGGCGCGGAATTAGCACTGGCCCACCGGCATATGCCGGCAAATTATTTGGAGGTCCAGAAACATTGGCAAAACACCGGCCCTCCGAGCCGGTGGTTCAGCTGTGTTAGCGAGTACCTATATTTTTATTTATCACATTAATGGGCAAATAGTCTACATTACTGTGTTTACCTGAAGGATATCGCGCCATAATTTATCAACATTTTACAAATTTGAAATCGAGACTGCAAGCGTGAAACATGACATTGAGAAAAACACTTCGGACTTCATTCACGATCTGCATTATAGTCTGTTCAACAGCTACTATGCGATGCTGCACATATTGTGAGGGCTGGTAAAAAACTGCTGTTACCAGCCCTCGGGTCGGTGAAAAACACTGAATTTCATGCCCTGAATAATAATAAAATACAGGTAATCGAGACTTATAACACGGGTTTGTTGCAGCACTTCAAATTGCGGTACCTTCAGGATGTGCACCAGGCTGCGAGTCTAAGACTTCACTGAGAAAATAGCAAGAAATAGCCGCTGTCTTCACCTGCGCTAAAGAACAAGCTGACGCATTTAAGACGCACGTGAAAAGTGAAGTGTCGTCGTCTGCTGTATCAGAGGATAAAACCATGTCAGCACAGCTAAAGACTGTGGTATGTAATGGTGATACACGAATGAGTAACTCAATCAAAGTGTCCTGCGTGTGTGTTGCTGTGTGTGTGTTGTGCGTGCGTGCGTGCGTGCGTGCGTGCGTGCGTGCGTGTGGGTGGGGGATTAATGTTGGTTTTTTTATTTGTAAGTTGTACATAAAAGTTAGCAATGCAATTTTGTCTTCCAATTAGCCTGATGCTTGAATTTGTCAATTAAATGGAGGGATCTTTTGTTATAATCCGAAACGATCGTGAAGATTAAGTAGTGATATCGTAAGAATTTAAGGTATGTGTGGTAACGCTCGAGTCGGATGGGGGAACGGTTGTGTTGTTGACGTGTGCAGGTGTCGGCTTAGCATAGCCAGAGTCAAATTCCTGGCTGTGTAAGCGATGGGTGTACCGGCGGATGCTTCACGAATGTGTCGCTGCTCCCGTGCATTAGACTCGGATTTCTCTAGTCGCAGTCTAATGTTAAGACTAATTTTAATTATAAATTTAAATAATATAAATTAATAATGTTCTCAGCTGCATGCATGTGCATTACATTAATCTTAATTATTGGGGAGAGAACGCCGATCAGTACTTCACGTCGTCATGGCTCCAGGCAACAATTGACGCGCGCGTTCACTTGTTCACGCTTGTATGTGCCACCCGTAATCTCTCGCATCTTCTTTTCTCTTCTATTTGCCGGTGTATCAGGGAGGACGCTACGGTAACAGCTACATGGACAGATGGAGCACGTACCTCTCTTCGACAGGGCAGCCGTAACGATCGACCTTTCCGTCAGAGCAAAAGCGAGCCGTGATGTGTCGTCTTAGTTAGAAGCGGGCGTAGTAGCGGTGGTAAATGTCGGCGTGAATGAAAGGTTCACATGCGTCGTTTCTCGTGTGTGTAATGGGCAGCAGCTGGTCTGGCTTAGAACTGCTATTAGGGTGTAAATCGAGCGTGTAGATGGCCCACGATTTAACGTCCATTACCTGTTATTTTGGCCACGTGTACACCCGAGCAAAGCGAGTGTAACGTAAGAAAAGCTCGCCATCTACAACACAAGTTGTATCGTGAAGCGCGGTATCGTGAAGGCGCATGGATCAATTGTTAGTATAAGATCGTATGGAAGATTTAATAATGCTCTCATAATATCTTATAAAGGTGTATATACGTATTATATTTCTGTTTTCCAAGTAAGTGCTCTTACACCAGTTGTGATGTAGGTAATATATTAGTGCATTCATTTATATTTCAATGCTGCGATAACTGGAATATAGAAAAGCTCGTCCATGCTACGTATAGTTAGGCACGTGTGATCGTATAAGTGCTGACGCAGGTTCGTTCAGACAACAGATACGCGTGTATTGCACTTAATCATAGGCAGTATATTATACTAATAATCAAAAGAATCATTTCAGTTACTCTATTCTTTAATAATCAACATCAGCGTGATAAATCATATACAATCATAGGTGCGCAGGCCAATAATCAATACGCATTACAAATGTTCATATCTTACGACCTAAAGGCAGCAGGCAGGTCCTCAGTCAGAGATGTTCGGCGTGACGTAGCATGGTGACGAGAGCAGGTGAGAGCAGCGCGTGCTGACAGCGTCGTGAACTTGTCTCTGTCTTTCTGTATAATTGGTCGGTATTTTATGCTTCTGAGGTATGCGGTGGCCCGAGCGTCGGTCAAGGCCTTGTTGACGATGGTGTGCAAAGACGTGTCGTCATCTCCAACATTTTTATGGGGGACTGAAGGTAGAAGCTGTGAAGCCCTTGAATCTGCATGGAACAGCAGCAAAAGCTTCTAGAAGTCCTTTCGGAATCGCGGCAGTTCGATTCATGTTCTCATAGTTCACATTTGTCGGCGTTCATTGTTTGTTCTTTATCAGTCGGCATGCGACATCGAGGTGTAATGTCCTTTTATACTATAGGTACTAAACTGTCACTCTGCCGTCGTGGGTGATAACTTTTACTCGTGTTCCAGTGACTCAGTTTCTTTGGATAGCTGGGTGGCGTCCTTCGCTTGTTGCCTTGACTGCTATTTGTCGACTAAAATAACATATGACGTGATGCTGCTTAAAGTTAAACGACCCGTAACGCTAGGTTTTATACTACTACTAGGTTAAATAATTCGATATCTACTTCATTACAGGGACATTGTTTTTTTTGTTTATAGATGGCGTTGCTTGGGAATTTATTTTCGACAGAGAAGAAAGTCGGTGGCTGTGAGGAAATTTTGTATGTCTTGCAGAATAAGCCTGTCATCGTTCCTGTCTATAAAGCCAAGAGTGTACCTTGTCGATGAGGTACGTATATTGCTGATGTACTGGAAATTTTCGTCTACGTAGCTTATGCGGCTCGGGTGTATATGCTCAAAGAAGGATTTTATGATAATCAATAACCCTGCTAGTATAGGACCTTTCGTGTCGTAAGTTTGGCAGAGAATATTCAAGGCGAACATGAAGCAATTTAGGAGTATTTACTCGCTCGCTCCTACTCTGTACAGTTCAACGAAGTTAATTCGTGACATCAGAACTGTTAACTGTATCATGTACTTTGTATAGGTTTGGTGAAAAACATCTGCATAATGGAGCATCAATACTGATCGTCCACCTCTTTGCGAAGTTTGCGTTTGTGGTATAGGATGCTGTGGGCGCATCCGTGCTTGCATGATATTTAACGGTGAACGTGGATTAAACTGGATATCCGTCAACCGAATCACAACTTACCACATTATAGTCGCAGTTTACGTTCATTTGGAACTTTATTTCATTTGGAGACTCCACTCCAGGATATGCCCATCGCCCGTTAGTACGTGTAATCTGAAGCAGCGTTCGACCTCACCTGAATCTCGTGTCGCTGGTTTGTGGCTACTCTATGCTTATGTCATTACTGTGCAAGGTCTGTAAATGCATAATGCAAGGTGATGGCAATTGATGGATTCTCTAACTGCATTCGATTAATCACTTCATTGCAACTCGCAATTCGTGACTGCGCATCACAAAGGTCACGGTCATATCCATAGATACTTGCAACCACGAGTCTTTGTAGCAAAAAATACATGTTTAGGAAGAGGACTTCTTTACGCATTAACGAAACATGATGTATTTGTGTATATAGCAGATGATGCAGTCTTGCGTAAGCTTTCCTTATTGCTACCTATTGGGTGCAGTCTAGCATTTTATCTCAATGCATCTAGGCTAACATGTACTGTAAATAATGTAATACAGTAATAATACACATCAAATTTAACTCATTATTCACTAATTATGATAACTGACCAGTTCCAGATGCCATAGTCATTATATCCAGTGTGGTATTGTGTAAAATCAGAATTTCACGTATTTGTAATACTGTGCTTGCTGATATCAATAATCGGAATTCCGGAATAAACGCAACTATGTGTAAAATAGACTTGTACGATGCTGTTTCCATTCTTTTATCCACGTTTTGCCTTAGAATGTGCATCTTGAAATAATTTGCCCGCTTAGACGCAGTTAAGCCACTTGCCACCCCCTCTCTCTCCCTCTCCCCAGGTTCCCAGCCAAGAGAATTTATTTCGAAATAATAGGAGAAAGAGCGTAAAGAAACTCGGTAGTAAATACATTTCGTATTTATTTACAATGATTTTTTTACTGAGATGTTCCAAGTGCCTGTGGAGAAAACGACAACAAATTTGCCAAGCACTACTGATTCACAGTCACTTGGAACCTTTCAATATTGAAATGATGGTAAATAAACACGAATGAATGATTAGTGGCATCCTGGTAGACAGCTCGATTATCTTGATGACAGGAACTTGTTTGGATCAGGTTGTAGCTTCCGGAGTAAAGCAGGTCAACCTAAAAGTAATTTTACATTGGCTAGCTTAGCAGTCGTGTGTACCCATATACAGTTAGTTACAGAAACATAGTAACAGCTGTCTACTACTACTAGTAGTAGTACCACTACTTGGTACTACTGACACTGATAGGAGTACATACGTATATAGAGAGATGTGCGTGTTTGTGCTGTGTGTGTTTGTTTAGTGAATCAAAGTACTTATCCATACTACGTACACTACAGACAGTCGACAAACGTACATAGGCCTACACTAGCTATTAGAAAAAGCTGCGTTTGATAGCTAGAGTAGGTGCAGTAAAATCGGTGAAATTTCTGAAATCTATGAACATAATTTGTGTTGCGTGCAATCCAATTCTGCCCAATCTACGAATCTGCCGACTGTGTGGCAGCCTGTGTGAACTGTAGCACCTAAAACCCACGCTGGTAAACCTGTCTGGTAAATCGGGATCCTCTTACCTTTACTTTTTGCTTCTTTCTTTTTTTCTCTTTTTTTTTGAATCTCAGGGACCTCAAGAGCAGGGGGATGCATCCCCCTATCCCCCTCCGGGATTTACGCCCGTGTTCGTGACTGCGGAGCGGGGACGCGGGGTGCTCGAGGGGGGTGTCCCCCTCGAGTTTGAAAGAAAAAGAAAAATAACGCCTAAAAATACCGCATTTCCTTGCACATTTTTCTGTATTATATCATATTTTACTTGTTGTTGTTTCATTAAAATCATCATGATTTTGGCAGAAGAAAAATTTGTCATCATACATTCCTTGGGTACTCACATCATTTATTGGCTAATAAGGCCGACTTGAGTCTCTTGACAGTATCCTTCCCCACCCCACCACCCCCACGATCCAGAATACCCAGCCAGAATACGGCCCGACGCGCTGACCCCGGACAAAGCATGCTCCGTCAATATAACGCAACGGCATGCTGCCTGCATAGAATCAGGAGTAGACGGGGAGCAGAGGAATGTGTGCCAGAGTTCTGCATAATTTAATTTTATAGCTACAGGTGACCAGACCTCATCTGACCCTGGTCTCCGCTTATAGGGGCCTGGATTACACGTATATACATGATATATGTACCGGCCAAAAGACGGTATAAATTATTGAAAGATTTTGGTTACGGAAAATTTATGGCCTGAAAAAAGTGCCGCGGCGGTCGCCGCGGCTGCCGCGGCAGTTCCGACGCCCTTGGTGTGTACCCATATACAGTTAGTTACAGAAATATAGTAACAGCTGTCTACTAGTACCACTACTTGGTACTACTGACACTGATACTGATAGGTATTAGGAGTACATACGTATTACGGTATATATGTATCATAATTATAATAAATAATACAAATTGCATTAATAGTATACCAAATGAATAAAAGAGATCAATAAATGAATAATTGACATTGATTGTCACTGTGGATTTTCTGTTTGACTTTTAGGTTTACGCCCTAGCAATTTTTAATGATTTTACGATGTGAAGACGTTTATTCCAATGGACGATATATAAATAATCAAGAACTTGATGAGGAGTCCTGGCAATGCCACTAGTACTAGTAGTACTAGTAGTAATAGTACTACTACTAGTAGTAGTAGATAACTAGTAGTAGCCTACAACTTCAAGTAGTATGCTGTACATCCCTTGTTTTCACTGACGTCTGCTCAATGACAAGGGTACACACCATTATCAATGGGCTCACAATGTGTTGAAATTAAACATATATGCTTAACCAACATGAAATTAATGTAAGGTGTCTACCGGCAACTACGAGTCGAAGCCATTCTACTGGACTCACCTACAGGCTTCGACCCAGAATCCACGGCAAGCCAGGCAAGGCCACGGCTGCCACCATATATAAGGACCGCCTGGGAGCAACTGAGTGTGCTTCATTCTACCAGACGACCAGGACACCGACCGACGTAAGGATCAAACCCTTACAACTATTATTACTAATGAGTAATGTAGGGCCGACATGTATGATGGAATCGTCGGGTAGTAGGCCTAATTGCATGGTCGTTTAGACACTGCCAAGAAGGCACTCTAGTCTTGATAACTTTGAGTAAGTTTCACATAGTCATAGATTTCACTCTTATTATAGTACTTTTATAGGTTTACAGCTTAGGTTTATAACTTTACTAACAACAAACAGTTTCTATACTATAGTATACTGATTGACCATCACAATAGTCAATACTACTCCACAGTGCCAGACAATCACAATGTCCACTCTCACAATACTACTACTATAATTCAGTCTTGCATCATCACTGTCGGCGTCGCATTATATACACTAAGTAACATGCTGACACATTTAACGAATCTTGCCACACAATGTTATTTGCATTGTGTTACGATGCGTTCAAATCCAGTTTTCTATGATATAACTGCATAAAATCTTACTGTTTTTCAAGTTAGTGAAAAATACCAGATTTTCACCGCTCATTATCTCAGCGTAGGGGCATCGTAGGGACAAGCGGTTTGTTTGTTTTATATTAGCATGGTAGGACGGCTGATCAATAATATCGCGAGGAATCGTCAAATTAAAACGGGCAAAGTTTCTTAATTCGACTAATAGTAATACGCTCTCCTTCTTAATACGCTCTTGATATAATATAATGTATATATATATATTATACGCGTGCTAGTATATAAGACAAATTCACTGGACTATGGTTGTATTATAGTAGATATATTCGCCCGGTTGCATAAAGCCTGATCTACTGGGGCTAATCACTGTGAGGTTATGAGGCAGCTAACCATGGCCAATGCGCCAGTGGCGTCACCAGGGTTGGTGTCACACGGTGCGGTAACTCATGGTGTCACCCCCATGGACCTCCTCCCATACTAGACCATACAGAATCCTTAGTAATGTTTTTTGTACTAATATTACTCGTAAATCGTAATTCCCGTATATCACTGAATGTAATGGAAATAGTAGTGACATAAACAACTAGCAAAATTAAAATCACCCCCTCTGATGGTGTCACTTAGTGCGTTTCGCACCCCCCACACCCCCATTGTGATGCCACTGCAATGCGCTACTGACAATGTGATAGTATCTACGTTTTTCTGTGGGGGGGCCAGTGACCCCTTTAATCCCCCACCCCCTAGCTATACGACCTTGTAATACAAACGTCTACTACCTAAATAGCAAAAAGGAAAGCTTGCAGAACTGACTCAATATGTTAACGAACGTGGAATGAAACTGCATGTAATTGTACCTGCGTCGGTTTAACATAAATTTACATGTCTCCGGGGATATATAGTGATCCGCTAGAAAGGCATAGTCAAAGCTCCGAATGCGCTTTAAAATGTACCGCGCTTTACGCGGGGGGAGGGGGGGCAGCATCCAATAGCATTAGCAAATGCTATGTTGAATTTTGATACCCTATCGCCATCAAGTATGAAGAATAATTCCAAAGTGCGCATATATAGAATAAACCAGATGAATATATCGGATATAACACAGTACAATTACTATTCACCGTGATTTATTAAAGGGAAATAATGATAAAAATGTTTATTGACATATATAATAATGCCTATCATAACTACAGTACAATGGTAATTAATTTAGCAGTGTCAATCATCTCATTGTAAACGGATGAACGTGCCGAGACAGGGAATCAACGCGTCAACTGTTTAGAGTAGGGACAAAATGTCTTACTTGGCTACATTTACTAAAACATGCACAATTCAAATTTTTATTACTCGTTTTGATTACCGCTGCCATTTCTTGCGAATCTCGGAACTAGCGCCAGTTATTGGCCAATTACAAAAGCTAAACATCAACCACACAAGAGGCAGATGCCCTTTTGTTTGAATTAGTTGCAGAATGTGTAACCAACAATTTACAAGTTTACCCATTCTGACTAAGGTGCCATTTCTAAATTGATTCTGGCTATAATCAATTATTCCATGGTGTTACATTACAATATATTCAAATCCAATTTTCTATGTTATAACTGCCTAAATAGTGTTTTTCAAGTTGCTGTAATCAGTAATAATATTCGCTGTGAGGTAGTACTATATTTCGCTACATTCTTTTCAGATTTGCGCGTTTCTGAGCAATATTTTTATTTTTAGCCACCGACCCAGCACGACATCAGCGAGTCGTACTCGTCGAACGCGGAGAAGTTCGCCGACGCCGACGTAGGTGGCGTCGCGATCACGCTCTGCCACGGCACCGTGCTCTTCAAGTGCGCGAAGCGGGAGCTGCACGCGATGACGGCGATACGTGACCCGAACCGCCTCGCGCCGACGCGCGTCTCCCTCGTCTTCTACCAGCACAAGCACCTCAACTACCGGCACCACGGCCTCGCGGAGTACGAGCGCGCGGCGGAGAGGAGGCGCACGGAGAAGGCGGCGCGAGGGGAGGAGCCAGTGCGACCGGGGAGGAAGCGGCGCACGGTGCCGCGGCCGGGATGGTCTCCGCGGTGACGGACGAGGGAGCGTTCATCGACGCGGCACCGCCGCATGGCGTGACGACGCGACGGTGCGTCGCCTCGACGACTGACAGCCTCGTGACGCTGTTCAGCTACGCGTTCACGTCCGTGACGGGACCGTACCGGACGTTCGTGTGATGCGCGCGCCGCAGCCAGGGGGCGCCACCGTCGGCCGTAACCGCCTCCCAGGGGGCGCTGTGCCACAGACTGCGAGGACCGACGACCTACGTCGGTGCACCGATGCGAAATGGCTGCGCCACGGCAACTGCTGACCACCTGATTCACCAGATGACTGATCGAGTTGTGGGCACCAGAGGGCACCACCGTCTTGCTGCGTCGCCGCGACTGCGTCAAGTCGAACTACGTGAGACGTGTGCAAAGCAGCTGCGAGTGTGTGCGCGTGTAGACGGTTCCCTGATCGCCGTCTTCTCTGTGTTTTATAGATTGTCGGGATCCGTCAGCGATCGTTAGCTTGTGTTACGACGAGCGAAGCATTGGTTAATGTCACAGATTATGCAGTTTTTATTGAAGCGTGTTTGTACGCATATAGCCATTTATGTATGGTACATATGTGGCTGTATATCTGTGTATATGTGCGTGCGTGCGTGTGCGTGTATGTATATGACTGTCGCACCTACTATCCCTTGCATTTAATATATCGCGTACCCTTATTTTAAAGGAAAGCTGCAATATGAAATTGTCCGTTCTCACGACAACGACCACTGCCAGGGCGCGTGCGCCCTCCCTTGCACGTAACCATGGTGACGGCATCTCCCGTAAAGACGGGGTACCCTCCGCGCCGTGCAATCAATTGTGTTAGCAATGAACTCACTGCCATGTAGCGATGTTCGGGTTTTACATTTCTACTACCATATTCATTGACTGGCGCTGCGTCCTCGGCGAACGGTCAGCGAACCTAGACTCAGAGGTCACCGCTGCCATCTAAGCGTCTATAGACTGATCGACTGGTTGTTCGTCTGTCTCGTAGGGAGATGCGTGGTGGAAGGGGGGCGGGTGCGTGTTTAACGCAGGAGAGGAAGCCACGGCGCGCCACGCCAGCTTCTCCATTGTAAATAGTAATTTGTCGTCGTCGTTCGTCAGTTTGTAGCAAAGAGAGACTTCCTCTCCCCTCCTCCTCTCCTTTACCCCTCTCCCTCCTCCCTACCCCTCCCCCTCCTCTGTCGGTCTCCCCCTCCCCTCCTCCTATTCCTCCCCTTCCTCTGTCGGTCTCCCCCCCCTCCAGTCTGTTTTTAGCCGGTATTTCTTGTAACCGTATCCGCAAACCAATTTTACGCGTTTTTTAGAGAGAAAAAAGAGACTTTCATATATATGTATACAGATTTATAACGTTTGATCGTGTGTATATAGGCAGAGGTGATTTTAATGGCGACGTTCACACGCGCGTGTGTATTTGTCTGCAGCATGGGTATATAGATGGGAAACTTTTGGCGGGGAGTAGAGAGAGAGAGAGAGCAGAGAGAATAGTGGAACATTGACAGATATAGCTATAGATAGGCTCTATAGCGACGAATAGATGGCCAAGAAAATTGTGACACTACCATCGTTTTTCAAAGGTGAGATAATCCACTTCTCATGGATTTATTTTTATGACATGGGTTTTCTACTACCCAGTTAATCAATGTTCTTCACGATTGGACGTTAAGTCTTGACAAGTCTGACAGGGTAATGCAGTATTTCTAGATTTCAGCAAGGCCTTTGATTTCAGCAAGGCCAAGGCCTCGTCTCTTTTAAACATAGTTTTAAATTGTTTAAATCTGTAGCATCTGTAAAACGTACGTTACACTAACTTGCTACTCGGGTAAAAATGCTGCAGTTGGTAATTCTGCCATGCATGTAATGTTTCATTTCATGTCACATAACTTGAAAAGTATGTTTCTTAATGAATCAAGATCTGTACATACATAATTAAACAAATATTAAAACAGTGAAAAGTATTATAAACTAAGAAAGTTATTTCATATATATTGGCATGACATTTAATAATGCTGTTCCAATATGTACTAATTACTTTACATGTATTGGATAGGAGCATTTATACGTGATGGTCAGCCCAGAAACCACCAAGGAAAGAGTCATTGCATTGGACGCCACAGTAGGACAGCTACAAAACGAATGAAGGAATGCGAAAAACAGCTAGGGCTTGGACAGACAGATAGCACAGTTGGCTTGGTCCAACACCTGCTAGCCACAAACACTGAAGTACATGCTAATGTACAATTTCAGCCAGGAGCACTGAGAGCTATTCTTCGATATATGCCATCAGGCATTGTGCTAAGTGAAGCACATAATGTAAATTTACAAGAATTCAACTTGTATTTTAGTAACTAGGAGTATCCCACAGCATTTCTAAGCACATGATTGGATAATGATTTTCATACTAGCCATGGTAATATTACAAAGAGGTGAATTTGGAAATCACATCAGACAGCTGTCTAATTTTACCTGGGCTTATATTACAATGTTTATCCAGTAATGGAATGTCAATAATATGTAAACGGCTATAGCTTGGTTTAGTAGATTTATGAATGAATAATTAAGGTTATACCACACTACACTGGCACATTCAGAAATTTGGTTAACTTTGCTATTTGTGGCCGTGCATTGAACCTGGAGATTATTTTATAACATTACAGTAACAGTTCAGATACTACACAAGCCACCAGTGTTGCCACAAGACACTTACTGCAGCTCTACTTTGTGAACTGAGGCTCTCTGTTTATTTAACAGTTGAGAGCTCTCCTCATATTGTTCCTGCGGTTAGGGAAATACAACATGTAGGCAGCTGGTGGTAATTATATGGGCATTATTGTTGAAGATTTTCATGTTCTATAAGTTTTTTTTTCAGGTGGTCCATTTGTGCTGCACTGTGTGGCCACCACTCTGATTGCTGCAGTCAGAAACACAACACTGCCCCGGCATTTCAATTAGGCTAAATAAGGATTTCCATAATATTTGAATGTGTACGGGTGAGATAACATTCATGCAGAGTAAATGTGTCAGTTTGGTTAGCTTTCCTGCAAAGGAAATGTGGTAAATCAATAAGTGAATACGCGGTAAAAACCCGAAAATCCCAGCGCAGGGGCGGTAGGTGCATTGTTAACACCGGCAGCGTTGAACGTGTTAAGGCGAAAAGCACACAGCCAATCCGCTTCCTCTCCTTGTTATATTTAGCTCCTTAATTGGATCTCGTAAGCCGTATGCGGCGTGTGCTGAGTTGTGTTGTTGAGTTGTATTTTTATTGCCACGCAAAGCACTGTGAGTGTGAGATTGTGCCTAAAATCTTTAAACGTTGCATTTGGTATGGACTCTCAGAAAATTATATGAACTTTTTGTTAGATTAGGAACTTTATCTAGGGAAGGGCACCAACGGCGGTTCCATAAAAGGGCACGGCAGTGGACTGTCGTCGGTGATGTGGGATTTTCAGGGGCAGCACGGCATGTGAGGAGGGCACCGACGGCAGTCTCGGGCTACTACGGCGAGGGTTGGTGAAGGGTGTATTGCAATATGGGTCGTATCGTCGAGGCTGTATCGTGATACAGATGGTATCATGAAGGCGGTATGGTCATACGGATCATGTCGTGAAGGCTGTATCGTGATACGGATTGTATTGTCCGCTACCCGTTTCTTCCCACCCCTATCTCTAACCACCACATGTCTTTGGTTCGCTTGCAGTTTGAGAGATTGGCCGACGACTTCTTATGCAGAACTAAAGCATCACGGGGAATGAGTCATAGCAGCGACCAATGCTACCGCAACCGCAGGTGAAACAGCTGTTCTGTTTGTTTTCCCTGTTCACTTCGTCGTCGGTGCATCGTGATAGTCGGTAGAGAAGCGAGGGCGGATACGATGCAAGCACACCCATTCTTATTGCAGTGAACGCGTGTAGAGTATTTTAAATATTTCATCGATTTTGTCCGTTTTGAAGAGGAGAATGAATGGGATGTTAGTGTTGCGACGTGCGTATCGTTTTCTTTTGTCGTTTTTCTTTGATTCAATTTTTAAATTTTTGTTTCATTGCATTGAAAGCTCGCGTGTTGTCGCGCGATGAGAGCATGTATATCATGTAATTGCATTGCGACTGAGTGGACATCCACAATTCATGCTATGCGTACGTGTGCTTATGTATGGAAGTGTATAGTGAAGGTTGGCGGCCGTTTCCAGAGAGGTGAGGTCATAGAACTTCTGTACACGGCACTACACGAACCTGGCGATGACACGGGAAATTTTGTAGTTAATTGTAAAAATCCAACTACTTTTTCAAAGAGGAAAATGCGTGCACGAGAACGACCTATTGTTCAGTTAGATGGTGACCGCTAGCACAACGTGTGTGTATGTGTGTAATTGAAGTAGTGGTGAGTGTCCTAAGCTGGTTATTATAAACACATGCCCGATTATAACAAGTTCATATTGTGACAAATATGCTTGTGACGAATTTACTGCGCAGATGTGTGTTTCCCACGTTAAAAGGCGCCAGGAGTTTGTGTTGTATAATTGTCAAGGTAGACTTTGTAAATGGCATAAAAGATACGGGTGATGAGATGTGACATAAGCATGAACAGAACTGGCAGTTTTATCTCCTTAACGTTTATTATGATTCATTTGTAACGCATGCATCTTTCATGCGCAAATAAAAGAGAAATTTGAGTTATTCATGACTTCAATGTAATTGTTTATTTGTCTAACCTAACGTTATCAGTCTCTTCCATGCTCTCCGCTTTTTCGCTGTAACTTCTGCAAAGCATCCGTTGTTTGCTTGTTGTAGCAATAGAATTTAGTTCATGTTCTCGGTGTATTTGCTTATTTCTTGAGATGCGATTCGTGCAACATTGCAACTGGTGACAGTTGACAATTATCTCTTTCTCAGCACTTTAATTTAAGTTTTGTGTAATTCATGGTATTTATAATTAAATGACTGATTCGTTGTCTATTCAGCTGCAGTATAGCGT